GTGATCCGTCCCGGCTTTGTAGGGATGCGAGGTCAATGGTCTAACGACTACGGCATGCACGACAATGAGTACACCCCTCCCCCCCGTCTCTCTCTTCCTATGTAAGCCAGCACTGGTGTTAACCATAGTTTGTCCTCATACTCGTCTTCTTCCTTGCCCGTAATGTGTGTGATTTACGGCTGTCACATCTGTACAACACCGCCCGGCTCTCGGTAGGAAGGGGAGGAGGAGGAAGACGAGGAGGAAGACGAGGAGGAAGACGAGCACCAACCCGTCGAAGACACGAAGCGCCGAGCGGCGGCGGTAGTAACTTCACGCGAAGAAGAAGAGGAGGAGCAGGAGAGCGTCGAGGGAAGAGGGGAAGACAGCCACCGGGACCCCCCGCCGCCTGTGTCGCCCGCAGCAACAGCAGCAGCAGCATCAGCGACGGGCAGAACGGCATCTAAGAGGCTGGAACGTCTCGGAGAAAAGCACGGGGTGGAGCTGGACGATCGCCTGGCGGAGCTGCTTAGGTACGGGGGGGAGGCGTGTGCGCATGTCTACCTGCCGGCTTTGCCTGCCTCGTTCAATTGTTTTTTGACGTGTAATGTGCGGTCTTGGTGCTGTCGGGTCTGTCGCACAGCAGTGCAGCTTCTTGGGGTTCTTCGCTTTGGCTGTCGCTGTGGCTGTTTTGGGTGGGTGGGTGGGGAGTTTGTGCTGCACTGCTGTATCTCTGTTGCCCCTTCCCGGGCACTGTTTTTTGTTGTGTGTCGCGGTTTGTACCCACGGGTGCAGTCGTTTACGGTAGCACATTGACAGCACCACTGCAGTACTTCCAAGTAGGTGTCAGATACCAACAATCCCGACCCACTCTCAACCCAGATCTCGTGCGCGTTTCTGTTTTCGGTATTGCCGCGTCATGCCCAGCCGCGCAGTCTGTGCGCGTTTACCCTTGGGATTTTTTTTTTTTCTCTCATCATTGGACTCTATCGTCTGCCCCTCTGGCCCCTATCCTTCACTTCTACCAGCTAGACGACCCAACCGGGGACACCATGTATTCCTGGAGTTGTTGCGCTGGGTGCTGCTGCTGCTGCTGCTGCTGCTGCTGCTGCTCCTGCTGTTTAGTTTTTTTGCTGGGCTGATTTTTTGTTGCGCTGGGTGCTGCTAATGCTGCTGCTGCTGCTCCTGTGTTTGTTGCCATTGCGGTATTTTTTCGCGCTGGCTGCTGCTGCTGCTGCTGCTGCTCCTGCTGTTGGCTTTTTTTTGCGCTGAAGCGACGGCAGCGACGACGACGACGACCGCGGCGGCGTCTACGGAGAAGGGGGCTACGACTACGAGCTAGAAACGGCGAAACGGGCAGGAGCTGCTGCGTCCGAGGCTGCAGCGGCGGGCGAGGGAACGGTCGAAGGGATGCGGGAACGGCTTCAGGCAGAGACAGAGGTCCGTTTTTCATCTCGTTGCGCTGCTTTCACTCTCCTCATGCAAATGCTCGTGGGCAGAGTTTCCCGCAGTTTGTTGGCGCCCCCGTACTCACGTAACTTCCTTGCAAGCACCAAGTGAAAGAGGATGTTTTTCGAGCATCGTTTCCGGATCCGACTAAACATTTCTTTACTCCTTGTCGACGCGGTTTGTCCTGGAGCGAAATCCCGTTGCAGCAAGGCGAAGGGTATCGCCGTATTGGGAGCCGACAAAGGCGCAGTTTTCACCCCGGTTCGGCGTTTTTGGTGCTCGTTCTCGTTTCGATGCGAACGGAAATTGCGCCTAAACATGCGGAGCAGTAGATGTTCAGATAAAGACTAGCTTGGGTTCATGAGCGGATGGTAGGGGTTGGGAATGCTGATGCTGGTACATTCGAAGATGGATTGACCAGGTAGCTTGCACGCGCTCTTCTTTGCCATCCGGGTTGCATAGTTGTTGATAGCACTCACCAAATTGTTTGTTTTTGCATTCGTTGGGCGAGCGTGTTTGTGGCGCCCCCAGTAGCCTTAGCGGGGATACAAAGGTTGTTTTTACTATGTATCGGGTACGAGGCTGGGGTGGGGCTAGGGTAAAAGGGATACAGTAGGGATACGAAGCCCCCCTCTCTATTGCATAGATCAATAGGAACGTCCTCTTGAACCTGGCCCGTCGCCCCACTTCTGAATTCTAAGCTTCCAAAAACGAAGTTCGTCGAGTCAGCAGCGCACCCCAGCCACCATCACCGTCACAACACCAACCCCGACCTGTACCGTACCGTGTGTTTGCCGTTGCCATTCCCCCCCCCCCTCCCCCCGCGCGCGCCCCAGCGATCTCTCGGTGTTCTGGCCGCGATTTTCGGCGGCGGCAGCGGGAACGCCACCGCCGGTGGTGCACCACCACCACCCACAGGTGCCGTAGGCTCTCTTTCTACACCGGGGACGAGCGGGGCCGAGAGTCGAGGACCTGAAAGCGGAACCGTTGTTGCGGCGGCGGCGGCGGCGGATGACAAGCCTGCCGGCGAGGCGACGGCCGCGGGGTCGCTCCCCGTCCCCGGCGGCGAGACGGCGGCCACCGAGGGCCTGGGCGGCGGTAGCAGAAAATCGGCCGGCGAGGAGGGTTCACGGGGGTCCCGCGACGAGGAAGAAGA